CACCTGATAAAAATACCAGACGGGTTTGCTTTACACTTGCGCTCATTCTTTTGCTTCTGTCAGGGCCAGCACGATATTAATTCTAGCTCGCCAGAAACTGATCCCAGCGGTATAACAGTCAGGGCACTTCATCAAGGTCGTATTAGTCTGTGAACATTTTTTTATAGTCGATTTTTTGTTTCACAGAGGCTGTGAGAGGAGGGATCGTAGTTGCTTGTTGTCGGGGAGTTGTAATTGCCTTGCCACCTAAGAAAAATTTTCGGCGTGGAGAAGTTCTAAGCAGTTCTCTTCCCAACACCGTTCGACAGCTTCGATCGTCTCAGAGAGACAACTAGGGACGGAGGGGGAGAGGGTTGGGGGGGTCCTATAGCAAGCTTTATGGGTGGCCGTACGGGTGCGTACCAAAATCCCCAACTAATGAAGTGCCTTGATAACAGTTCATCTGTGTCCCTTCCCCTATCCAAGACTTGAGCTTAGAGTGCATACGACCAGAGTGGCCGCTAGCTACACTCTCTGGTAGGGCAGTCTGCGTGGCTTTGGAAGTCTGCGTTGGCCCAACCTTGCTGCCTTAGCACCGAATTCAGCCAATAGTAGAAATATAACCGTAACTACTGTTCTTACAAGAATATTGATGTATGGGCAAAAGTCAAACACCAAGCGGGGAACCCGCATCTCCCGTGTGATTGTTGCCTTTACGTAAACGAGATTCAAATACCTTCAACATAAACAGCACAGATGATCGCTAAAGAACCGATGATCGTTGTGATGGCGACGAAATGGACGAGTTTTCTGCCGACGCACCGACAAAAATAGTCACCAGCACCGACCAAAATGTTGATTCCATATCTTATCACCTTAATGGAATCTAACTCTAGTGATGTCATAATGACAAGAATGACGTCAAACGTACTCCAAACATTGTATTGTTCCAGTACAGTGATCCAGAAAGTTTTTCCATATTGAAAAGTAGTCCGTAATTAACCAATGAGGCAACTATTCTGAATTATTGAGTCGCAGCTATTAAGAATCCATTCTTCAGACCGACTGTAATCACTTACAGGCCAGTACAGACTGTGACGCTCCATCGCAGATATTTCCATGTGCAAACCAAATGATAGAAAGTGTAGTTTTTATGTTTCTTTTGCTTAGCCTCGAACACCTAAATTAGATGAGAGTGATTTGCCTGCATTTCCACAAATCTCTAAGTTTAGGAAACTTCAGGGAGAGAAAAAAACTCCTTAGGAAAAAATTCTTGCAGAACGGAAAGAGAAGCTGCAAGATGAAGCCAGGAAGCGGGCTTTCTAATTGGAACCTAGCTAGGCATAAACTGAGGGTGCTATACGCACTTGGTGCTCTTTTGTGCTCCAAGTCAAGCGCGGTTTGGGATTCCGTATCCTGCCTGCTGTCCAAAGTGCACCAATAATTTGGTGAGTTCGCCGCGAGGAATCCTCAATAAATTAAAGGACTAAGTTTTTTTCCTCCCGAAGCAGAAGGAGAACAAGTTATCTGATTCGCTTCCATGAAAGAAAGGTAAGCCATAAGATAAAAGTCTCAGAGTTCTGACTTATCAAAGGCAGTATGAGCACAGAATGGCTGGGAGTGGTATGATGGCAAGAGAAATCGTAATTCGCCGTCGCCAGTGCGGCATGCGACAATCAGTGCTCTCTGAAATGATTTTGGGTGGTATTGGCGAGAATAAGGCAGTGTAGCGGCTAGGATAGGCAATTGCGTGTCTACCAGTGTACATTCGTTACATGAAATCGATGTCAACGACAGGGTAATGCAAACATTAGAGATACGTCGCGATAGGACGCATTGCCGCCCGTGGTGACGAGCGATTCTCTTGCCCGTCTTCCACTCATTCAAGTATTTCTGCTCTCTGCTTTTACACTATCTAAGAGGTTTGTATCCAGTGGACGAAAAATTTGTCCTGGGCTGGCTCACCTGCTGTTCAAACCGTAACATCTCTTCGATTTCTGCAGCCTCTTTCTCGCAAGTTTTGCCGTCAAAAGTGCCTGATATTCGTGAGGACTTGACGTGCCTTCGTACCAATTTTCATGTTGAATCAAGGCCAGCGAGGGCTTTCGGTTAGAAAAAGTCTGTCAAGTATGTACGGTAAAATGAAAGATGTTCCCAAGTTTTGTAATGGAGCAAGAATCTATTTCCGAGGCCTGCACCCGGGAACATATTGGCTTAGAACTTACAGAAGGTTGATTATTGTGATGACCGCAATAACGAAGCTGAAGAAAGCCAATTTGCGCCAATCATGACAATAGTATGCTATGACTGGATAGATGATGAAGTTGGGCGACCACGTTACTACGGTATTTATCCACATCCGGTGATCTTTTGGTATATTCTCTATCAAGTAGACACCGAGGACCCTGGAAAAACCAGGATCAGGTTACTGGCTCTAAAAACCACTACAGTTCGCTTTTGAAGGTTCACTTTTTTCGTAGTTCAAAAGAAATATATACCAATACTAACCTTGAGGAAATAGGCCTTGCTACCGTGGCTACGGTCAGCCTAAGGCTGCGTTCATATCTTGCGTCAGCACGGTAGGGTTTACCAGCGGCCACCAGCGTTCATCAGCGTCCAGCAGCGTCCTACTAGAGACCATAAGAAACGCGAAGGACTAGGAAAGTATGGATATCGATCTAGCGTCTACCAGCGTCCACCACCGTCTATGAGTACGGTATTGTGTAGTGGTAGTAGTGTAGTAGTAGTGCGGTTGCGCACGCCACGATTTCACGACGCCTAATCCAGCTGTCTTCTCCCCCTCCTATTACCCGTACTACCTGCTGTCTGCTACCCTTCTACCTCCCCATACTCTTTACTCCTGGTTGGTGGTGGAAGCTGTTGGTCACTGGTGGACCCTGGTAGACGATAGATCAATATCCATACTTTCCCAGCCCTTCAAGATGCTTATGGTCTCTAGTGAGCGCTGGTGGGCGCTGATGGGCGCTGGTGGACGCTGGTCGACGCTGTAGATGCTACCGTTCGCAAGATCGATAACTATACTAGTCGCTGACACTGACGGATGCTCGAAACGCTAATGGTCGCTGATGGACGCTGGTGATCGCTGGTGGACGCTGCCGCAAAGTATGAACGCACCCCAATGAATCTTGCCAATTCTAATTGTTCTTCCTACGGAACAAGGTAAAGCATGGTGAGGGAGTGATCAACGTCAATCACCTTATACTTTACCCATTATTTTGGCAGTTCCGTTTCCTCTTTTCTTAGAACTCACGGGCTCACACCGCCGGTGAAGAACCCTGTGATAGCACGAATTACGTTGAATTGCGTGAATGTCGCTGACCACATAGTTGCCAGTGAAAACAGGCCCAGTCCGAAAACAGATATGATCAGAACCTGAAGCAAAGGACTAATTCAATTCAAGTCCGTGCTTTCTCATAAATAATTTGACAAATAATTTCAAGCCTTATCGTTACCAGTTTTCTTCCATATCGATCACTGAGCTGACCGCTAACCACTGCACCAACAAGTACACTGAACATTTGAACGGAGATGCTGTTCTTCACCATTTTTCCGTCTTCGCAGAGCAGGTCGAACTGAAAAAGCTCATTTTATTCCTTACAATTCCGAATGACCACAGTTTTTTTGAACAAATGTGGACTTAAAGCTTCCATGTGCCAGGCGAGCCCGCAAAAGTGAGGCTGCTGCCCTCTAAGCGCTAGTCCTTCTCCCACCAAGTTGTGCTTTCTCGGGTCTATCCATGGCTTAGCATGCCGACCGTCCCTCCCGCGAAAACTCGCACTCCTAACAGTTCACGTGCAACTCGGACTCAATCCTTTTGATCGTGTCAGCTTTCTCTTGTTCTCTGCCCTCTCAGGTGAGCATGCAACTCTATGACTTAAACATTCCAACTTTTGACTCATGATAAATGACTCACCCAGCCCGTAGTCCCCTCCCCTCGAAAAAGCTCATTCCTGGCTCTCGACTTTTTTTGCAGCTTCAGTCGGGGCACAGCATCGTGATGTGTGAAATGGCGGTGTCAGTCGACCCCCCCCCGCAAAAAGGATCCTTGTACGACCCTCCCTCTCCGGCTCTACTTGTTTGTTATGACGAGAAAGATTATATACATAACGACTCGCAAGCGCTCGCGGCTGCGTTAGGATTCCATGGCAAAGCGTTTGAGCAGATCTGTTGGCCGGGGTGGAAATTGCGGGGCTTTTTTTTTCTGGAGGTGGTAGTTTTTTTTGGGGTGAGGCTTACGAGAAAGGGTATAAGGATACTCATTCGCCAACTTCAATATGCCTTCAAAACACATATTCCCGTTGAACTGAGTCAAAGCATAGTTTGGTTATCATCGATCGATTCGGTCCGAGCGTGCGCCGTGCATTACGCTTCTACGCAGAGGT